TTACTGATCAGGAATACTCATTCTGAACCCTAATTATGAGAAATACCATTCACTTTTATAAAAGCATGTCATCTTTCTAGTTAGTAGGCCTGTATTATTAAATCTGTATATTAAAGGAATAGTGTTATATTTTGAAAATTTTCAGTGAAGTGCTTATGTAAATCAATTTTCTCTTATATAAATTCCTACACTATGCTCTTGATTTTGCTTCATGCCCCTCTCCCCGACCCTAAGACATCCATTCTCTGTTTTTTATAGATAAAGTTTGCTAACTCCAGAGCTAGACTAAGCCACACAAGGAGTGAAAGCACTTATAATTAGTTACTATAGCATAGGTCACCAAGTGTTGAATAGTATGGAATGAAATTGGTCTAAGACCCAAGGATCAAATACTGTGATTCATGGGCTAGAGAGATGACTCAGCCATCAAAGGCTGGGCTCCAGAATAAAAATATAAAAGATAACGATTCTCTAAGACTTTCATTAATATTGCTCTAATGCTTAGGGCTAGTGTAATGATAGTACTTTCCTAACATACACAAAGCTCTGGGCTCAGGTCCTAGAGACCCAACAGAACCAGAAGGATGGTCTTGGGTTTTTTTTTTCTCTTTTTGAGACAGGGTTTCTCTGTAGCTTTGGAACCTGTCCTGGAACTAGCTCTTGTAGACCAGGCTGGCCTCAAACTCACAAAGATCCACCTGTCTCTGCCTCCCAAGTGCTGGGAATAAAGGCGTGCACCACCAACTGCCCAGCTGGACCGTCTTGTTTTGTATGTGGTATTTGCCTGCGTTCCCAGCACAGGGGAGGCTGAAGCAGAGGAGTTTTGAGCGCAAAGCTAGTATGAGCTAGACAGGGAGCCTGCTGGCAATCCTGACAATCTGAGTTATATTCCTGGGACCTACCTGGTAGAAAGTGCGCGCACACACACACCAAACACTAAAATAAATATTTTTTTAAAAATTTAAAATTGGAGACTGGAGAGGTCATAGGTCCAGGGCGCCTGTCTAATCGCGGTCTACATGTTTCTGTTTCTGCCATAGAGTAAGGCTGCTGTCAGCTTTGGTCGGTGAAGCTTCTTTTTGCCATGGGTAGTGACTACTGCAGAGACTCACACATGATCCAGATGCTGAAGGTAAGAGTCTTCATGTTGGCAGCCCAGTCCCAAATGGAACATCTAAACCACCCACTTCAGAACTGTGGAAACATCCCCCAAAGAGGGGGTAGGAATATAAGAGTTGAAAGAAGGGTTGAGGGCGATTGGCATGCTGTTTTCTGGGCACATTTAGCATTCTTTTGAACTCCCGGAAGCTGTGGTTACTTGCACAAGATTGGGCCCCTCATTACCCTGTCATGGAGTGGGAAGGGACTCATGAGACCGCACACTTTCTTGAGGACATTTAGGCAGGTAATGACTATTGAAAGAGAGGCCTTTTCTTCTGTGTTAATAGCCACTGTCAGTTGCCCATACTCTTGTAAATAACCCCTCAAACACACTCCTGTAACTCTGGGAAGAAGGAGAGCTCCAGTGGAAGTGGGAGAGGGACAAGATGGAGTAATGAGGGTGAATATGACCAAGACACATTATTATACATATATGAAAATGTTACAGTGAAATATGTAATTAAGCATAATTAATGTATGTTAATAAAGTTAAAAATAATTTTTGTTTTGTGCATTAGCATATTGCCTGCATTTATACCTGTGCACCATGTGTGTGTCTAGTGCCCTTGGAAGCCAGAGAGGGGGTTAGATCTCCTAGAATGGGAGTTGCTGATGGTTACGTGGGTTCTAGGAATCAAACCCGGGTCATCTGGAATTGCAGCCAGTACACTTAACCACTGACCCATCTCTTCACAGACACACACCACAATAAGCTTGTGAAAAGAAGAGCCTTACATTTGAAATAATACATCTTCATGGAAGGGCCGGTAAATGACTTTTTAAATTCCAGTTGGTGTATGCCTTGTTCTCCTCTGGTCACAAAACCCTGAAGTCTTCAGTAAGGTCTCTCTTTAAAATAAAATATTTCAGTACTGATACTTGAATTATTGAAGTTATACAAAGTGAATTGTCTCTATGTGTTTCCCCAGGCGTCTATCCTCCAGAAAGAGAATGTTAGGGAACCTTCTGGGTTAGAGAAGGAAGGATGAAAGATGGTCCCTCACACATAGGACAAACAAGATAAGCAAGATTTCTCTAATCACGAATCATTTCCATGATTAAGACTACACGATTAAGGCTTAGCATCCAAAACATGTCAAGAACCCTGGAACTCAATGATAGAATCCTTGCCCCAAATTCATGAGAACCTGGGTTTGATCTCCAGCCCTGCAAGAACTCTTCCAAATCAGTAATAAGTTGACTAATTAAAAGTGGGCAAAGGATGTGAGCTGACATTCATCCAAAGAAGATATATGAGTGACCAATCAGTGTATGAAAAACGTGCTCAACATCATTAGTTATCAGGAAAATACAAATCAAAATCACAATGAAACACCACTTCATACCTACCAGGATGGCTATAAGAAAAAGAGACTGACAATGGAGGCTCGAGAGATAGCTAAGTTGTTAAGGGCTCTTTCTGCTCTTACCAAGGAACCCAGTTTGATCCCCAACATCCATCTCAGGTAATTCACAACTGCTGGTAACTCCAGCTGAAGAGCAGGGCATCGGGTGCACCCTTCTGGCTTCCATAGGCATCCACATGCACACATGCACGTAAAGAAAGAATAACAATAAATGACAGAAAGTAATAATTCTTGGCAAGGCTGGAGAGGAGTAAAAACCATTGTGCACTGCTGATAGCAATGTAAAAGTGTGTACTCCTTTGAAAAACTCTGGTAGGTTCTATAAGATTAAATATAGACTTGCACCTGATCTAGCAATTTCACTACTAGGTACATAACTGAAAGAGTTGAAAATGACCATCTTGAATATGACCTGTACACACACATGACCATTGCAACTTGTATGTGAATATCCACTGCAGTTTTATCTATAAAAGCCAAAAAAGTGGAAACAAGGTAAAACCAGTCATGCTAGGATAAACAAAAAATAGTATATCCACACAATGAAAAATTATTCAACTATAAAAAGGAATTACTTTTTATAATATGAAAAGGAGGCAGGTAATGACTAATAATAAGTATGAGATTTTCTTTTGAGATGATAAATATGTTCTGGAATTAGATAAGTGCATTGGTTGCACAATTTTGACTAAACTATTACCAAATTGATTTTTTTTCTGAGACAGAGTCTCTGTGTAGATTTGGTTGGCCTGAAACCCAGCAAGGTCCACCTGCCTTTGCCTTTTAAGTACTGGGAATGAAGACCTGCAACCATGAATACACTTTCAAAAAATGGATTACATATTATTTGGATTTAGTATTTTAAATTATTCTGTGTGTCTCTGTCTCTGTCTCTCCCTGTTTCTCTCTCTCTCTCTCTCTCTCTCTCTCTCTCTCTCTCTCTCTTTTTTTCTCTCTCTCTCTCTGTGCATCACAAGTCAGATGACAACTTAATAGAGTTAGATTGTTCTTGCCTTCCATCATGTGGGGCCTGGAGATGGATAATTCATCAGGCTTTGTGGCAGGCCACTGAGCTCCTTCAGTGCCCATGTTGAATTCTTTTTTTTTTTAAAGAATTTGAATTGTATCTTTTTAAATAAAGAAGCTTCAGCTTGTCACCCGGATACATGCTTGCAATCTCAGCATACAGGACACAGAGGGAAGAGGATTATGAGTTCAAGGCTACCTCATACTAGATAATGAAACATTGCATTAGATAAAAAGAAATGAAGGAAAGAGGGAAGGAAGGAAGTGGAAGGGAAAGAAAGGGAAAGGAAGGAAGAGGGAAAGGAAGGAAGGCAAGGGAGGGAAAGGAAGGAAGAAGAAAGGAAAGAAAGGAAGAAAGGAAGGGGAAGGGAAGGAAAAGGAAAAGGAAGGAAGGGATGGGAAGGGAAAGGAAGAAAAGAAGGAAGGAAGGGGAAGGGGAGGGAAAGAAAGGAAGGGATATGGAAGGAAGGGAAAGGGAAAAGAAGGAGAAAGGAAGAGGAAGGGAAGGAGGAAGGAAGAGGAAAAGAAAGAAGGAAGGAAGGGGAAGGGAAAGGAATGAAGAGAAGGAAAGGAAAGAAAGGAAGGACAGAAGGAAGGTGGAGAGATAGCTGAGCAGTTAAGAGTGCTGGCCGCTCTTGCTGAGAACTCTGGTTCTATTGGACACACAGGCCAACTCATAACCTCATGTAATGCCAGTTCCAGAGGCTCCAAGGCCTTCCTATTCAGGCAAAGCACTTGTACACATAAAATAAAAATGTATAAATTTTAAAAACTAAATTAAAGAAACGAAGAAATGGGGCTGCAGGATAGCTCAGAGAATGCTTGTCTGGTATGTGCAACGTTCTAGGTTTAATTCCCACTACAGCAGAAAAAAGTTTCTACTTCATTAGATACTCATTCTGAATAACGTCAATAAAATAAAAATATTTACAGGTACATCTAGGGTATCTCTCTCTCTCTCTCTCTCTCTCTCTGTGTGTGTGTGTGTGTGTGTGATGTGTAGTCCTTTATTATGTCGGGTTTTACATAAATTCGTGAATATTTATGGACCAGAGAGATGCCTCTGTAGGTTAAAGTGCTTAAGACCTGAGCTGTATCTTTTGAGATCCACAAAGTGGAAAGAAAGAATAGAAAGTTGTTTTCTGACCTCAACACACACACACACACACACACACACACACACACACACACACACACAACATACACACACTAGCGTGCTAATAAATAAAACAAGATAAATATTGATGATTGTATAGAAATCAAAATAATTTAAATAATACTGAGCGTGTCGACAACTAAAGCTGTTCCAACTAACTGCCTAGCCAGAGGAGCATCTGTCAACAACCCTACCCCGCCTCCCCCTGCATTGTAGCCAGATGGGACGTTCCGGAAGTTAATCAGGCCGGCACCACCACGTGACCAGGGAGGAGCCATGGTCCTACACGTGCATCTGTGACGCCATCTCGGCGCGACTCTTCATTTCCTTAGAGTTAGCTGGCTTCTCCGCTTGAGCTATGCCGAAAGTCGTTTCCCGGTCGGTGGTCTGCTCTGACACCCGGGATCGCGAGGAATATGATGACGGCGAGAAGCCCCTCCATGTCTACTATTGTTTGTGCGGCCAGATGGTCCTGGTGCTGGGTGAGTGGCGGGAAACTGCTGCAGCGAGACGTCGGGCTTTTTTTTTTTTTGGAGACAAGTTGCTCAGGTCGAACTTGAATTCACTCCGTAGCTTAGAATGACCTCGAACTTGCCGGTGATCCTCCTGCATTACAGGCGCGCGCCACCACTCTAGGCTCAGGATATTTTTAAGTGGTTCTAAGCGACGAAATCTTTCTTCATTCCTTTAGATTGTCAATTAGAGAAATTACCTATGAGGCCTCGGGACCGGTCTCGCGTGATTGATGCTGCCAAACATGCTCATAAGTTTTGTAACACGGAAGATGAGGAGACTACCTATCTTCGGAGGTAAGGGCTTAATGCTCTGTCTATTTCCCTGCTGTGTTGAGGTCTGTTTGTGAAGAATGTAAATTATTCTATGTAGTGTTGATCAGCTCACATAGTTAGGTCTGATACTTTGACATTTGTGTTAGTAGTCTAACTTATGCTAATGCAGCAAATTCTTTCTTGTACTTTGTTGAAATGGTACTGAAACTTTATTCTCTTTGCATTTGATAGCTGTGATGTTCCAATTACAGGTTTGAATGAGTTTGTACAGCCTGCAACTTTAGTTGTTGCTATCGATATTATTTGCAGGGCCTTAGTCTTCCAGGATGAGCACTCTCCTACAGAGTTAACATTCCCAGTCTGTAAGCTGATGCATGCCATCGTGTACCAGGTACTGAGCTAGGTACCAGATCTGTGAATGAATAGAGCAGTCTATATTAAAGACGTCAGTGAGGAAGCTACCATATGGTAGAAGAAGAAAACTATGTACTAGAAGCTGTCTTCTAACCTCCAGACAGGCAGGCCATGGCAGCTCCATCCGTGCCCACAACAGATAATACAAAAACCCAAAAATTTAAAAGAAAAAACAAAAAATGCTCATGTTGCCTAGGTTATATGTAGGTGAAGGCTATGGGTCCCAGGAATAGAATGTGGGTCATCAAGTTTGGTGGCAAATGCCTTATTTTCTGAGCCATCTCTCACTCTTGAATGGATTTTTCCCCAGCAATACACAGCGTTCCATGGCTCATCAGTGCATCACTTCACTATCTGCCTGTATCATGTGGCTTTTTCTGTGCCTTTTAATTTTTATAAATTTTATTTTCTCTGTATGGATGTTTTGCCGGCATGCATGTTTGTGTATCATTTGTGTGCCTGGTGCATACAGAGGCCAGAACAGGAACTGGAGTTGCAGTTGATAATGAGCTGCCATGTGGGTACTGGGAATAGAACCCGCGTCCTCTGGAAGAGTAAACAGTGCTCTTAACCTCTGAGCCATCTCTCCAGTCCTTCTTCTCTTATTATTTTAAGATTTTGTTTATTTTCATTTGTTTGTTTTTCTGACAGTCTCTTTTATAGCACAGGCCTGGAATAGGAGGCTACTTAGCGGAAAATGACCTTAATTCCTGATCCTCCTGCTTGTATCTCTCAGGGGCTCAGATTACATGGGTCACTTTGTGCTGTGTTTGATCTTCCCCCATTATTTAGAAATCTGGTTTTGAAAACTATCAACTAGCTTTAGGATCACTGTAGTAATTACATATAATATTTATAGAAAGTTAGGCATATAATAGTATTATGCATTATTCAGTTAGTACAGAAAGCAATTGCATTAGTTAGGGATTCTATTGCTGTGAAGAGATACCATGACCATGGCAACTCTTATAAAGGAAAGCATTTCTTTGAGGTAGGGGCTTACAGTTTTCGAGGATTAGTCCATTATCATCATAGCAGGGAGCATGATGACATGCAGGCAGACATGGTGCTGGAGAAGGAACTGTTATGTTGATATGCAAGCAACAGGACTGTTTCACTGGATGTAGTTTGAACATAGGAGACCTCAAAGCCCTTCCTCCAACAAGTCCACACCTACTCCAAAAAAGCCACACCTAATAGTGCCACTCCCTTTGGGGGCCATTTTCTTTCAGACCACCAGCAATTTAATACAACAAGTCTGCAGTCTCCTGTAACATCACAAACCTGGTCAAGAAAACTACTGGGTGACCCTAGACTGAAGTAGAAACCCTGAAATCTGATCAGCCTTACCCTTAGGATGAATCAGCTATAGTACTAACCATACTTAGTAGCAAGTAGTACCTTATTTAATGGCAGGTCCTAGGCCGGGGACTTGTAGCCAAGCCACTCTTGGGGTTCAGAGTTCCTAGAACTTACCAACAAGCAAGCACACTCCCCTTTGACATAGTTCATGCTCTAGTCTTGTGCAGCTTTTCCAAGGGCTTACTCTGTGCTCTTTGGCTAGCCAAGGCAGAATTCTAGTCTCTTCTTAGTGTTCCTCTTTTTCGCCAGTTGCTGAGCACACATGGCCCATCTTTCCCACCTACTTCTTGAGTGAGAATAATAATTTGTGTTATTTTTTTCTCTTTTTTTTTTGACACAGGTTCTCACTATGCAGCCTAGTCTGGCCTTCAACTCAATCCTCCTGCTTCAGCCTACCATGTGCTGGGTTTACAGACAAGTGCCACCATACCCAGCTATGTCTTTATTTTTCATTCTAGGACTTCTAGGTTACCTGATTTATTGTCTTATAATTGTTCATAGAATAATCTGGCAGTGTTTTTATGTCTATAATACTGGTAGGAAATTCTTGGGTTTTAAGTCCTGATGACTTCAGACATTCTCTCTATATAGCAGCAATTCCATGAATACACCATGTATATATGGACTATTTCATTCAAATGAAATCCCACTTTCTATCAGAGCTGTGGCTCGAGCACCATCTCTTCATGAAGTTTCTGTGGCTTCTCTCAGACAGTGTGGTGCTGCCACCTCTGCTGCTATTACAGATTGCTCCACTTAAGAATTTAGCTTGGCTGGGCAGTGGTGGCACACACCTTTGATCCTAGTACTCAGGAGGCAAAGGCAGATAGATCTCAGAGTTTGAGAACAGCCTGGTCTGCAGAGTGAGGTCCAGGACAGCCAGGGCTACACAGAGATGCTGTGTCTCAAGAAAAGAAAAGAAAACTTTTAACTTTGTCAACGAGATGCAGTGGCTTACAACTGTTATCCTAGCATGTGGGAGTCTGAAGCAAGAAGATTGCTTTGAGTTTAAGGCCAGCCTGGGCTACATAGGCAAACTCTAGATCATCTTGGGCAGCGTCAATAAGATCTTATCTCAGAAAAAGCTTCTTGATTACCAGTTTAGTTTCTTTATTTAGATGAATCCATTTACTATTTATTGTACATCTTCTCTGTGTACAGTTCTTTTAATTTTATGTGTATGTTATTTTACCTGCGTGTCTATTTCTTTACCACATGTGTACCTCACAGAGGTTAGAAGAAGGCATTGGATCCCTGGAACTGGAGTTACAGACAGTTGTGAACCACCATATGGATGCTGGGAATTAAACCTAGTTACTTTGGAAGAGCAGTCAGTGCTCTTAACTGCTGAGCCCTCTCTCCAGTCCCTATATCTAGTGTTTTGCTCAGCTCTGGAGATAGAGAGATAAGGCAAAGTCTGTCTGATCTCAGGGGATGGATGATGGAAATGATGAAAAAATAATAAATAGAAAAAGCAAGTAATTATGATTATTAAAACCATATGAACAAAACAAAGGATTGGTAGAGAAAGTCACATGAGAACTTCTTTGAAAATGTAATCAGGAATGTGGAAGAGGGAGACTGGATAAGATGCTGTAGAAACCAGTTATGTTCTTAGATGGTACTAGGGAAGCCACTTCTGCCTCTATTTAGAGAGTGATTTGGAAGAAGAAACTAATGGGAGCAGATTCTAGAATAAGTGGTTGGATTAGGAATTCAGGTTGAAGAAGTGCTGTCTATGTTCTGACATACATGGCAGACAGTGAGAGCAAAGAGAAATAAGTTATGACTATAGAAATGTACTGACTATAGAACAATCTAAGATTTCCACATATTGCAAAACAAAAAATCAAAGACAAATAAGAAACTGAGAAAGAAACACTTGCAAGACTTATTAATAGTGCAAGTCTCTTTAACGTAAAAGAAAAAATTGACTCAAAAGATATGAACCAACAGTTCACAAAAATGAAACGCACAAATGGCTGTCACTTTAGCACTAAGGTGTCTGCCTTCAGTTTTGAAAAAGGAAATGCAAATTGACAGGTCTCATTTTCTTTTCCCTTTGTTTCTGAGATGCGTATTGCTATGTTACCCAGGTGGGTCTCAAACTATAATCTTCCTGCCCCAGCCTCCTGAGTACATGCTATTGCATCCATGAAGATCTAATTTTTCACGTGTGAAATTGGCTGGGATGCACTTAGCTAACATACACTATCAGTGAGGCAGTAGAGAAACAGAACTCTTAATACATTGCTGCTAGTGTAAATTGGTGCAAGTTCTCTAGAGAATAATTTCGTAGTATGGTGGTTTGACTGAGAATGGCCTCCCATAGGCTTATTTGAATGCTTGGTTCCCAGTTGGTAGACTATTGGAAAGGATTAGGAGGTGTGGCCTTGTTGAAGGAAGTATGTCACTGGGAATGGACTTTCACTAACACCAGACCCAGATTATTTATAATACACTAGCCAATGAAATGCTAAGAAATAATTAATACTGCATTGCTTAGGGGATAATGATGAGAAAATATTTGCATTTCAGTACTAATACAACTTTGTGCTGTGTGTGTATGTTTTTGCATGCACATAGGTGCATGGGTGTATATATACATGCATAATCTAGAACTGAATGCTAGGGTGTCTTCCTCTGTCACTGCATTTTATTTCCTTGAGACAGGGTCTCTCACTGAACCAGAACTTTGCCATTTCAAATAGGCTGACTGACCAGTGATCTATCAGAATTTGCATATCAACTCCCAGTGCTGGGGTTACAGGCATACACATAGCCATGGCTGGCTTTTTATGTGAATCCTGGGGATTCTAACTTGGGTCCTTGTTCTGGCAGAACAAGCACTCTTACTCACTGAGTCATCTCCCCATCCCCTGACACAACTTTTGTCTAATATTTTCTGTCCATAGTTGGTGGAGTCCACAGATTTCAGAAGCTGTGGGTGCAAAGAGCTGACTGTATAATTGGTTGCTGCTATATTATTGTGACTATCATTGTTGATACTACAAGACCAATCATGATTTTGACTATTAATACTGCTACCCGTTTCTCTGCTTAGCTAGCATTATCATTAATTGCTCACAACCCTCTTAGTTGCTCAGTACATGCTCGTGAGAGAAGGATTGCATGCTGGGGTTATATATTTAATACATGCTTAATTAGTCGATCTACGAAATGAAGAACTTCTGAACTTTTACCATGAGTTATGATAAGAGGTGAATGATGGGGAAAATGAGCTAGGAGGTTAATTGGTTATGAGATTTGCTTGTAAGTTTTCATTTTTTAACTTCCATTTTCTGTGTAGGCCTGAGGGCATTGAACGTCAATACAGAAAGAAGTGTGCAAAGTAAGTATCGACAGTGTGGGTTTTTCTGAGCATGGATCAGTAAAAGCATACTGTGTTAGGGAAATAATCTCTTTTTGATCTCGGTAATCTCAAAGGCCTTCAAACCAAATTCTAATATGCTTTCCAAAGATGCTAGTTAAATCCACCCCGACCAGCTGATTACAAAAGTAAGGAAAAGGAGGATCTTTTTTTTTCTCAGAGGCAGGGTCTTGATATGTAGTTCAGTCTAGCTTTGAGCTTTTGCTCCTTTGCCCTAGCCTCCCAAGTACTAGGATTGTACGCATGCACCACCACACCAGGCAAAAAGTTGAGTTTTTAACATAGTATAATTTGAAAGATCAAGATGTAATATGTCTGCAGTAAAATGCACCCATCTAAATATTCAAGTCGATGAGTTTTGACAGAAAAATACAGTAAAATAATGCCACCCCCATCATGATAGAAAACATTTCCAGCACCCTTCACCCTTCTCCCTGGTAGTCCCTGCTTTATGTCATAGTACTTTCACCGTTCCTAACATCTCTGTACAAATACATGTCTTTATACCTTCTGTCTTTCTCTTTTCCTTTCCCTCCTTCCCTCCCGCCGTCTCTTTCTTCTCTGCACATGTCCATGACATGGAATACATGTCGGACTCAAAGGACAACTTGCAGAAGAGTTTTGCCTTCTTGCATGTGGGTGTTGGGGAATCGAACTCAGGCTTTCCAGCTTGACAGCAGACTCCTTTTCCGCTCAGCCATCTCACTGGCCTCTAGACCTAGTTTTCCTCAGTTTGTCATTTTAGGGATTCATCCAGGTTGTTATATGTATCTTTTTTTAACTGCTGACTCTCCCATCCTATTAGTTCATTTACTCATTCACAGTGGCTTTTATTTTTGAGCATTCCATTGTGTCAGTTTGTTTACCCATTTACAATGAATTTGAGTTGCTTCCAGTGTAGGCTATTTATTATCTGTAAAGTTGCTGTGAGTATTCTAGATAGATTTTATTGTCAATATATATTTTCTTTTGAAGTAGAATTGTCTGAGTCATAATGGAAAATGTGACACAATATAATTTAGTTCCAGGTTTACATATAAAATCTATTATTAGACTATAAAGCTAAGAATCTTAAAGGATGTTATTTAAAGCAAAACTTCCAGCTTTAGGCTATTAATAGTAAGAATATTAGTGAGTTCAAGTTTTGTCATTGTTGTTTTGAGATGGGATCTCTCTGTGTAGCCCTGGCTATCCGAGAACTTACTATGTAGACCAGGCTAGCCTTGAACTCACCTGCCTCTGCCTCCAGAGTGCTGGGATTAAAGACCAGCCTCTATGCCTGGCAGTTAAGTTCAATCTTTATGTAATGACAGTTGTGTCTTAGCTCTCAAAAGACTCAGAGTAGGAGCATTGAAGCAGAGGAAAACAGGTAGAAGATAGGAAGGCTTGGAGCTCCTCACCATACTGGATTGATGAGGCTGGTTTTTATCATATCTTGTAGGTCTACTTTTTAGCTCAAAAAGCATAATGGTCAGCCAAAGAAAGTGTTCGTTTTCTCTGCTGCTGTAAAGGCGACAGAATGCCCAAGCCAGTGCTAAGACACCTGAGCGTAACAGTAGCAGTTTTTTACTACAAAGCCAATAGTAGCATTACATAGCATTTCCCAAATTTTGTCTAGTGTCAAAAATAACCATGTGGAATGCCGTTGAAAAGAGCAGAGTCCCAGGCCTTACTCACCCCCTACATTTGCCAAACCAGGATCTTATGGGCGAGGCCTAGGAACCTGATCAGAAATTTCAACATGCATCCTAATTGATTCTCGCCCAGTCCGTTAGGAGAAAGGAGAACATTTTATGCCACAAACAAAGCTCTTCCGAGAAAGCAAGTCTCCTTTGTAAGTCATGCTTTGGGGTGTAGAACCAGAGCTTTGCTGAGATTCACTCCCTGTTTGCAGGTGTGGGCTGCCGCTCTTCTACCAGTCCCAGCCGAAGAATGCACCTGTAACGTTCATCGTGGATGGAGCAGTAGTGAAATTTGGTCAAGGCTTCGGGAAAACCAATATATATACTCAGAAGCAAGAGCCTCCTAAGAAGGTAATTATCATCCGAGGGCACAGGCGACTTAATATAGCTACACATTTAGTCCCGAGTTTCATTAATGCTGGGGATCATACGTAGTACTCGAACATGTTACGCAAGACCCACTGAGCTGGAGCACTGCCCCCTAAGCTTTAAAATAAAGAAACTTTCACCTATACATCTATAATATTATTTATTAAGAAAATGCAATTGTTGTGTATAGGCAGATATTATAGAACTATGATATTTATTATTTGCTTGATATGCAGTAATCTTGTAAGGTTACAAATTGTATAATTTTTATTTTCCTTTTTTCAGATTTTTTTCTTTTTAGAAGAAAAGCCAATTAAATCCTCAATGAATTAGAATGATTTTTAAATATACTCAAAACTCCCTAAATAGTGGACTGGAGAGATAGCTCAGCCATTAAAGGCTAGCCTCACAACCAAAAATATGAGTTCGGTTCCCAGCACCCGCAGCTGTCTCTCCAGCTACCTTTTGCCAGGTAGTGGTGGCACACACCTTTAATCCCATCAATCAGGAGGAAGGCAGAAGCAAGCAGATCTCTGAATTCGTGTTTAGCCTGGTCTATAGAGTGAGTTCCAGAACAGCCAGGGCTACATAGAAACTGACTCTCAAAAAAAAAAAAAAGAAAGAAAGAAAAGAAACCCAAAGCCTCAAAAGGAAATGCTTGAAAACACTGACATTAGCATGTCCTGTCCCTAAGAGACAGGTATTCTCACACCGTTCCTGTACACAGACGTGCACACAAATGCACGTGCTTCCACGGCTCATGGATCCTTGTGAGGTGACCTTAGCTTGATACCTTTCCTTCTCTTCTAGGTGATGATGACCAAGCGGACTAAAGACATGGGCAAGTTCAGCTCTGTTACTGTGTCTACCATTGATGAGGAAGAAGAAGAGATAGAGGCTGTAAGTGCTTAGGCTTTCACGGGAATTGGAATCGGGGAGGAGGAGTAAGGCGACTCTGGTTAGAGCCTCTGCGGAGCAGAACAGTTGGCAGCCTTGCTTTCACATCCTGCTCTGCTAGTGAGAAACTCAGTGCTATTGGGAGTACCTGTTTCCCTGAATGGGAGGGACATCTATAAAATGAGAACAAGAAATGTGGATTCTCTCATCACTTTTTAATTTTAAAACTACTGAACTGGATTCAGACCTGACAGTTCAGGCCTATAATCCCAGTGCTCTGGAGGTTTAGACGGCAGCGTCTTAAGTTCAGGGTCTGCATGTATTACATAGCAAGATCCTATCTCCAAAACAAACCAACAATAAATAAGGTACTGGACTGAAAAATTTTCAGTTCCTCCCAGGCAGGCGCTGATGGTTTGAGTCTGTCCTTAGCAGTAACAGCAGTTACTTTTCTGGTATTTCAAGCCAAGTGTTTTTTATGGAGGGATGTTATCAAATGATCACCATGGAAACCTGAAGTCTCCTGAGTTATTGAGAAGATGAAGAGTTGGAAGTGTAGGGAGGCCTGCTGTTTGAGTTCCAATTTCTGGACTTGAGTAGTGCAAATAACTCCTGAGGTCTTGATTGCAGTTCCTGGTAAGTGCGCTGATCTGAAGGCCCTTCATTTTCCCTATAGAGAGAAGTTGCCGACTCCTATGCACAGAATGCCAAAGTGATTGAAAAACAGCTGGAGCGCAAAGGCATGAGCAAGAGGCGACTGCAAGAGCTGGTGAGTGGCATGGGGGAAGGGCGCAGGCCTCCTGGCTTGGATTTCTTGCTTTGAGTGATTTGCAAAGGCTCTGGGAAGTTACTAGTATAGTTGGCTGCCACCTTCCTCACCCCAGGCTCTGACTGTGTTGGTAAATAGTGACTGGGGTCTAGCACTAAATTAGAAATCTTGTTTGCCAGCCCTAACTTGGGTGATGGTTAAACCTGCTACTTGCTCGCTAGGGTCAGGATTAAGGGCTGGGGTTTTGAGTGCTCTCCAGTACGTGATGACATACAGTTGTGCTACCTCAGTTTACCCAAATTGGGGCTGTCATTGCTTTTAAAGCACTGCTAGTTTTCTGCTTCATCCACGGGATTAACTTGGAGCATGATATTTCTATGTAGGGTGGGACCTACATTTTTAAATTTTTTAGGTTAGTTTATATAGTGAGTTTCTTCATGGCATTTCATAAGAAGTGTCTCATTATCTTTGTTCTCATTCTTTCCCCACCCCATACTTTCCCCACCCCACAGCCTTCCATGTTCCCACCCCACAGCCTTCCCATGTCCCCACCCCACAGCCTTCCCATGTTCCCACCCCACAGCCTTCCCATGTTCCCACCCCACAACCTTCCCATGTCCCCACCCCACAGCCTTCCCATGTCCCCACCCCCCAGCCGTCCCATGTCCCCACCCCCTCTGGTTGGTTTGCATAGTCTCCCTCCTCTGCTTTTTTGTTTTCTTTCTCTCTTTTTTTTTTCAAGACAGGATTAGTCCAGGCTGACCTGACAGTTGCTATGTAAGCTGGTTTTGAACTCCTGATCCTCCTCCCTCTAGCTCCCTAGTTCATGGATTACTGGTCTCCATTCTGCTTCTCCTTCTGCTTTCTTAGCACACATCCCTCCTTCCCCTTGATGGTCTACACACACATAGACATGTAATTTTATATCTAGCTTTCATGAGCCAGAGTTTTGAATTGATGGATAAGGATTGTAAAACCACGTTTGGCTTATACACTGAGCAGTTAGGGCGAGTGGGACAGCTAGAATAAAGAAGAAATGTTAAGAATTTCATGTGATTGTGATGTATCAGGGCATACTTTTTTTTCTTTCCAGGCTGAATTGGAAGCCAAGAAAGCAAAAATGAAAGGGACTCTGATCGACAACCAGTTCAAATAATTCAGATCTTTCTGAGTTCAGACTGGAGGCCGGCACTTAGATCAAGATGAAAGAGCTTCTTGATTTCATGGTCTCGTTTCTGTGTCCCAGGAAGAATCTTTCTGACCATCCCATTGAGTTCCCTGCATTGTTGTTCTTGTCTTTTACTGAAATCCTTGACTCCATTTCACTTGCTTTCTAGGAGGTAGATTGTTTTCAAAATCTTTGTATAAAGTAAGTTTTCTGTCTTACTTGTCTTTGAGACAAGTTCCTGGTACACACTGGAGGACGGCCTTGAACTTGTGAACCTGCTGTCTTAGCCTCTCCGGTGCTGTAGCTGCAGGAATGCACCACCGTGCCTGGCTTCCCTGTCGGTCCTCTTCTATGATGTCTTTAGGGCTAGATAAGTCTCTAGTTTCTAAGGTTGGTGGATTTTTTATTTCGTCTTTAAAATTTTTGAAAAAAAATATGGTATGAGAGGAAAGTTGCAGGAATTAAAATTAATTCCTTCTAATTTTTAAAAGGTGGATCCTTTTAAGAGATTCTGTCTCTGATCTTCAAACTATCCTTAGAATTAACTAGGGTTTGAATCATTCTCTTGTCGTCAGTAGAAATCAGTTAGAAACCCGAATCTGCAGAAAAATTTCTTTACTTAAAATAGTAGAGTTATATGTGAGCCATGCCATATGAAACTACAGAATCAAAGAAGGAAAAGCCATGTGGCTGGGGGTGTAGCTCAGTAATGGAGTACATGCTAGGCATGTGTGAGGACATCCCCAGCACCAAAAACAAAAAAAGAGAAAGAGCCAGATTGCCGATGCAGGGGTAGGGTAGCTCAGGTCTGAATGAAAATATGGCCTTGCTAAGTAACCCAAAGGAGCTAGTCAGTCAGCTGGGAGAATTACTGTGAGTACACAGGAGGGGGCATAGTGAGAGTAGATTATCTGTTGGGTGTCTTGTTTTCCATTTGCTATGTGCAGAAGCCTGTTTGAAGTGTGTCATTCCTTCAGTGATGTCAGTATCCACGTGGTTCTTCCCATATTCCTATCTGTTTGCCTGTATTGCAAGGCGTGAGGAAACATGGAGTGTGTTGCCCTCCTGGTGTTATCTCTGACCAATTGCACTTTTAAGACTTGTTTGTGAGGTGCTGTCGGGAAGTCATTTTCTTTGCCTTTTTTTCTGATTTCATTACTTGCAGGGAAAAGTAGGCTAGAGTGGATGTACAGTTGAGCTCGCAAAAACTGGGCCAAAGAGGATTGGGAATGCTGGGAATGCACAGACTGGTACCATGTTACCACCTTCCCAGTTACTCCGCAGCCAGTGAATGGGATCTTCCTTTGGCTAATTCTTCACCTCCTTTCCTCTCCTAGTTGTGAGACAGAATTGACATTGTATGAATGACCAACTGTGTCCACCAGACAATGACCTCTGCCTTTACTCCACTTTATCCCCACATTCCTATGTGCACAGCTTGGATATACTTACACCTCCTCAGACATTCAGGCTTCTAGTCTCTGGCCACAGCCTCTGATTATTGCTAGTCTCACGGACTTACTTCCTTGTAGACCTTTTTAGGTGTGTGTTTAGACTTGAGGGGCTCTTATTTTGTTAGTAATAATGAAACCTAATAGTAATAGCAGCATTAATACTCATTACTCTCCACTGAGTACTTGGTGTGTGTCAGATGCTGTGGAAAGCACTTTAGAGGTATTGGCTCTCTCTGACAATACCTCCTATGATAGTTAACTCTTGTCATCACCTTTTTCAAATGAATACCCCTGAAGCTCAGACTTCAAGTTCCCCAAGAGCCACTAGCCAGGAATTGGGAAAGCCAAAAATCTGACTTTAAAACTCAAGCTCTACTATGCTGAACTGCTTCTCCTGTGGAATCTTTATTTATATGTATGTATAGTTAGATCAGAACATAAATCATTTTGAAAAATCAAGTGACGTGCAATGTAAAAATATTCAGCTAGAGAACCCCCTAAAGCAATTCTGTGATTATACTTCTACATGTTTTCTGAAATATTTGCTGTTAGATAAATCCTAACCATTTCAACTTCTGGCTCAAGTTACAAATTTTGCTTCCTTAACGATATGAAACATTATGTCATTAATATCAAGTGAGTGTGTACATTTCATTTTTCTCTTTTTATTAAAAAGTATTGAAACAATATGATGTACTTTCTCTATTAATTTCTAATGTTTTTATAAGCAAATGTGTTAATTTTAATAAAAAGAGCCATATTGAAATTTTGGAAAGTCATACTCTCTTTTCTTTTTGCAAATGATCAACTATGACAAAATATGAAAATGTTATGAAATGTTCTCACTCTAATAGATGGTGACATTTGTAATTGTGACTGTCATTTAAGAGAATTTGAAAAGCTTTTTAAAGACTAAGCTATCTTGTTGGGTGTCCTGGCATGCACATCTAGTTCTAACACTTAGGATCACTTTTGTTCAGGAGTTTAAGACCAACCTGGGCACCATAGCAAGCAAGACTTTCTCGAAAAATAAAATATAAAATATATAAATAATAGGATGGAATAAACTAAACTAGCTTGTTTTGATCATCTTAAGATTCATATTGCCACGGACTATATATCCTGTGCTTTTCTCGGTTAGCTACTAACTTTTATTAATTTTCCTAGTGATAGATGATGTTGAACATAGTGCTTTTATTACAGTTTTTAAAAAAGTTTATTATCTTAACCATTTTTTGATTTTGAGATGTGGTCTCATGTAGTGTCTGACTCTTATTTTTAATTTTAGATTTTTAATTTAGATTTAATTTTTAATTTTAGGTTTTTGAAACACAATCTCATATAACCCAGGCTGACATCAAATTCCCTGTGTACCTGCGGCTGACCTTGAATTCCAGAGCCTTCTGTCTCTACCTCCTGAGTGTTAGGATTAAATGCTTAGTGTGTTTTAGTAGATTTTTAAAGATCTTTTAAATTTTAATTTTTATATGAGCCTTTTGCCTGCATTATATGTATGTGTATCTCATGTGTGCCTGGTGCCTGCAGAGGTCGGAAGAGGGCATGAGATCCCTTGGAACTGGAGGTCATGGGTAGGTGCTGGGAATGGAAACCAGGTCCTCTACAAGAGCAAAAAGTGTTTTTTGTTGTTTGTTTTGTTTTGTTTTTTTCAAGACAGGGCTCAACAAAAAGCTGAGTTGTTTTTTGTTCCCCCCCCCCCCCCGAGCTGAAGACCAAACCCAGGACCTTGCATTTGCTAGGCAAGCACTCTACCACTGAGCTAAAAGCCCAACCCTGAAAAAAGTGCTCTTAATACTAAGCAATCTCTCCAGCCCATATCTTTAGAAACAGGCAACCCTGATGGCTGTGGGATTTTTATTCTTTAGCTGCTAGCAGAGATTGAATCTAGTATCTAATGGCTGAAGTTGAAGTGCTCTACCGCTGAGCTAAGTCTCCCAGCAGTGACCTTGAACTCTCACTTGGGCTGCCAAGTCTCTAGCTTTAATTTTTTTGTTGTTTGTTTGAGACAGGGTCTCACTATCGGTTCTGGCCGTCCTAGAATTCACTCACTATGTAGACTAGACTGGCCTCAAACTCAGAGGTCCTCCTGCCTCTGCTCCCCAAGTGCTAGAATTAAGGGCATGTACCACCACACCTGGCCATCTAACCATTTTTAATTGTGTAGTTCAACAGTGTTAATCATGCATGATTGAATCAAATCTATAGAACTTTGCATCTTCTAAATCTGAAACCCGGACACAAAGGGACTCCTAAGCCCTGATAACCATGATGTTCTTTCTGTTCTAGTGAATTTGTCTAATTTAGGTACTTATTGTATGTGAAATCATATAGCACTTCTTTTTGCGAGGGGTCTACTTCACATGGCATGAGTCCTCAGTGTTCGTCCAGGTGTGTGCTAAATCGCCTTCCCTTTTAGGGTGGAATAATTCCCTGCATGTGTATACAGTTTATTTATTCGCTCGTGTCAGTAGACCGCTGTTTGGATAATGTTGCAGTCAACATGGCTGCGTAAAAATAACTTTGGGACATTCTAGTTTCAGTTATTTTGGATTTCAGAAGTAAGATAGTTCTAGGGTTTGGGGTGGTATGTTTTGTTTTTGTAGTGGGCATTAAATCTTGGGTCTTCCACATTCTATACAAGTTACTCTATCACTGAACTGTTTCCCAAGCCCTTAAAAAAAATTAAATAAGTTTTTGAGATGGGGTTTTGCTACCCCAAGCAGACCTTGAATGCAAGATCTCCCTGCTTTTTTGCCTCCCAAGAATTACAGACCTGCACAACCAGCTCTGGCTATTTGTAATTTTTGCAGGCGATTCCATTCTGTTTTCCTTAGCTTGTTGTCTGTACTGTTTCAAAATCTCTCACAGTCACGAGCCAACAATATATAAGGGCTCAAATTTCTCTGTACCCATATTGAAATTTCATTGTATTATTGCATTTCTTCGGTACTGGTGATGTTGGGGATCTTCTCATAGGCATATGGCCTTTTAGATAGCATCTTTAGAGAAATGTTTATGCAAGAGCTTTGTCAGTTTGAATTGGTTTCTTTTTTTGCTATACACATATGTATATGTTAATTTTCCATCTGTATATCTTTGGTAAAGTGTGTATTCAGCTCTTCTACCCATTTTTTAATGTTGAACTTTTTATGTTTTATTTATTTGTTTTGTTTTTGTTTTCGAGACAGGGTTTCTTTGTGTAGCTCTGGCTGTCCTGGAACTGGCTCTGTAGGCCAGGTTGTCCTCAAACTCAGAGATCCTTCTGTCTCTACCTCGTGAGTGCTGGGATTAAAGGAGCCCACCACCACTGCCTGTCATCTTCTACACATTTTAAACCTGCTTGTTTGAGTTTTTTGTTGTTTTGTTTTGTTTGTTTCGTTTTATGATTTATTAGGAGATCTTTATAGTCTGGATCTCAGTCCATATAGAGTTAGAATATCTCCCACCCTGGTTTGCATTTTCGCTGAGTGTAATGTCTTTCTTTCAAAAATGATTTCTATTTCCTTTTATTTATGTGTATGTGTGTGTATTGTCACTTGTATGGATCTGCCTGTGGAAGGCAAAAGAGGACATTGGACCCCCTGGAACTGGAATTACATATGATTGTGAGCCTCTGTAGTGCTGGCAACCGAACTTGGGTCCTCAGCAAGAGCAAGTGCTGTTAACCATTGAGCCATCTCTCCAGCCTTTTTGTTGTACCTTTCTTGAGTCAATCATGAATATCTTCTGTACTTGTGAAAGTTGTATTTTTGACATTTACATCTGTAGTCGTCTATTTTGAAGTAGTTTTGTATAATGCATAAGTTGTGTGTCAGTTTATTTTTTTTAAATGTCTAGTTTTGACACATTATTATTATTATTATTATTATATTGGTTTTTTGAGACAGGGTTTCTCTTTATAACAGTCCTGGCTACCCTGGAACTGGCTCTGTAGACCAGGATGGCCTCGAACTCACAGAGATCCTCCTGCCTCTGCCTCCTGAGTGCTGGGATTAAAGACGTGCACCACCGTCACCTGTCTATGACACCTAGTTATTAACAAGACTATTTTTCCTTCATCTATTTTATAGTTTTTCAGATGTCAGTTCATGGTTGGGTGTGGTGGCACCTACCCTGAATTTCAGCACTCAGGAAGCAAAGGCACTTTGCATCTCTGTGAGTTCAAGGCCAGCCTGTTCCAGACCAACCAGTACTGCATAATCAAGACCCTGGCTCAACAACAACAAAACCACCAGCTCACTATGTTTCATCCATTGTTATTTTACCCACATAGTACTTGTTTTCCTTTTTAATTGTGAAGCTTCACAGATGTTACACTCGACCACTGAGCCCCAGCCTCTACTACCTTTCCAGTTTTCATTTCTTAGTGTTGCTATGTTTCATAGACTGGTTGTAAACTTATGGGCTTAAGTGATCCTCCTGCTTCAGCTTTCCAGGTAACTGTGACTATAAGCATATGCCACTCTGCCTAGCTATATAGAGTGTCTTGATTTGCTTATTGCAGCTTTAGGGACAGTTTTTAACATTTGGTCATGATTCTTCCACCTTTGTCCTGTTTTGTAATTATTTTGGGCTATTATGGAGTTTCGTCTTTCCTTTATTTTAAAATCAACTTGCTGCTATGTTCAGTATTCTTTCTAGGATTTTTGGGATTTTATAATATCTGAAGACCATTTTATGGAAAATTGGCATCTGTACAGGTGTTTGGTTCTTTTTGTTAGTGCTTTATTTTTCATGTACAGATCCTGTAGATAATTGGTTAAAATTTATACTTGGGTTCTTCACTTTTTTCTGATGCTGTTATAAATGCCACTTTTTTCTCTTTTGTAAAATTAATTTTCTATCTTTCATGTATATGAGTATTTTCCTAGTGTGTAGATATATGCACCAAATGCATACCTGGTGCCCAAAGAGGCCAGAGGGGGTTTTATGTCCTCAGGAGCTGAAATTATAGGTAGTTGTGACCTGTCGTGTGGGTGTTAGAAATCAAATCCAGGTCCTCTCCAATAGCAGCATCTACTCTTAGCCAGTGACATCATCTCTCCAGCCCAATTGTTTTGTTTTTGTTTTGTTTTCAGGGTCTCCTGGAGCCCTGGTTGACCCCAAGCTTACTGTGTAGCCAGGGACGACCTTGAAACCTCTGTTCTGCCTGTCTCCACCTCCCAAGTAAAGATTAAGCGTGCAGGCCACCACACCTGGCTTTTTGTTTGTTTTTTTAAAAATTCAAGCAAGATGTAATGTTTCATTATGACATTTCTACATAATTTATTTTTGTTGATCTTCCCTGTCCCTTCTTTTCCATTCCCCTGCTCCTCCTGTACCAGTCAACTCCCCGCCATCTCACTCTTGGCTTTATGTCACATGCATTCTGTTACTCTGTCCCCTTCCTCAAAACAATTTCCCCCTCTCATGGCCCATTTTCTGGTTTTATCACACATGCACACACACACACACAGACACATACATATATATGTGTCTCATACACATATGAGATATAAAATGTAGTATTTGTCTTTCTGAGACTGGATTATATAACAGCATCCATCCTGCAAACTCAATTTTAGAGTCAGCCATACCGTCAGTCTGCTTTCTGTGATCTCATACCCCGATAGTTGAGTGACCTCATCTTGTCAATGAGGAGGTGTTTGATGCCATGAATGTCTGGTTCTTT